CCCCCCGCATAAGTCGGCCAAAAATATTTAACTTTCCCCCCCCCCCCCCCATCCTCCCCCGAAGTAGCGATTAAGTGAGGCAAAATTGCCTGGAAAAACAAAAGTCCTGGGGAACAGGAGTGTTGCTGTTGTTCATAGGAGAGGGTAGGCTGGCGTGGTGGGTCTCCACACAGAATTTCACTGAATTTCACTGAATTTCTAGAGTTGGAAGGGACCATAGAGATCATCTAGTCCAACTCCCCTGCTGAAGCAGGATTGCCTAGAGCTAGAGCATGTTACTCAGGACTGCATCCAGGCGGGTTTTGAAAATCTCCAAAGAAGGGGACTCCACAACCTCCCTGGGCAGCCTGTTCCAGGGTTCCGTCACCCTCACCGTGAAGAAGTTTCTCCTCATATTTGAGTGGAACCTCTTATGTTCCAACTTGTGCCCGTTGCCCCTCGTCCTCTCGGTGGGAACCACTGAAAAGAGTCTGGCTCCCTCCTCCTTCAACCCTCCCTTGAGATACTTGTAGGCGTTGATAAGGTCTCCCCTCAGCCTTCTCTTCTCCAGACTAAAGAGTCCCAGCTCTCTCAGTCTCTCCTCATAAGGGAGATGCTCCAATCCTTGAATCATCTTTGTAGCCCTACGCTGGACTCTTTCTAGTAGTTCCCTGTCCCTCTTGAACTGGGGAGCCCAGAACTGGACACAGTACTCCAGTTGTGGCCTCACCAGTGCAGAGTAGAGGGGGAGAATGACTTCCCTTGACCTGCTGGCTACACTCTTCCCTATACAACCCAAGATACCATTGGCCTTCCTGGCCGCAAGAGCACACTGTTTACTCATTGCCATTTTACTGTCCACCAGGACCCCTAGATCTTTCTCTTCAGTAGTTGCCTCTAGCGGGTCCACCCCTAACCTGTATTGGTGCCTGACATTCTTCTTCCCCAGGTGCAGGACCCTACACTTTTCCCTGTTGAACCTCATGAGGTTCTTCTTTGCCCAGCCCTCCAGCCTGTCCAAGTCTCGCTGGATGGCAGCACAGCCCTCCGGGGTGTCAGCCACTCCTCCCAGTTTGGTATCATCAGCAAACTTGCTGAGGATACACTCTGTCCCCTCGTCCAGGTCACTGATGAATATATTAAACAGCACGGGTCCAAGTATTGACCCCTGGGGGACTCCACTGGTTACAGGCTTCCAACTTGAACCTGCTCCATTAATAATTACCCTTTGGGTCCTGTCACACAGCCAGTTCTCAATCCACCTCACTGTCCCCTCATCCAGCCCATACTGCCTCAGTTTCCCAATGAGGATGTTATGGGAGACAGTGTCAAAAGCCTTGCTGAAGTCAAGGTAGATGACATCTGCTGCCCTCCCCTCATCCAACCAACCGGTTATGGCATCATAGAAGGCTATCAGATTGGTCATACATGATTTACCCTTGGTAAACCCGTGTTGCCCACTTCCAATAACCCCCCACTCTTCAACTTGTTTGGAGATGACATCTAGTATGAGTCTCTCCATCACCTTCCCAGGGACAGAGGTGAGACTAACTGGTCTGTAGTTCCCAGGGTCCTCCTTCTTGCCCTTTTTGAAGACTGGAGTGATGTTGGCCTTCCTCCAGTCCTCAGGCACCTCTCCTGTTCTCCACGACTTCTCAAAGATGATCGAGAGTGGTCCAGCGATAACGTCTGCCAGCTCCCTCAGCACTCGTGGGTGCAACCCATCAGGCCCCATGGACTTATGAATGTCCAGTTTGGCCAAGTGGTCCCGAACCTGGCCCTCCTCTACTAGAGGAAAAATTTCCTCTCTCCATACCATCCCCCTTGCCTCTAAGGCCACAGATTCATGAGGGGCAGTCCTAACAGTGAAGACTGAAGAAAAGAAGGCATTCAGCAACTCTGCTTTCTCCGTGTCTTCCACTACTAGGGTGCCCACCTCATCCATCAGTGGGCCCACATTATCCCTAACCTTTCTCTTGCTGTTAACATACTGAAAAAACCCCTTTTTGTTATTGTTAATATTGGTGGCCAAGCTGAGCTCCACTTGAGCCTTGGCCCTTCTAATTTTCCCCCTGCATATCCTCACCGCTTCATGGTATTTCTCCTTATCTGCCAGGCCCTTTTTCCAAAGATTATAAGCCTTCTTTTTGTTCCTGAGTTCCAGCCGAAGCTCTCTATTTAGCCAGGCTGGTCTTCTTCCCTTCCTGCTTGATTTTAGGGACTTGGGAATAGCTTTATCTTGCGCCTTTAAGAGTGCCTCCTTGAAGAATGACCAGCTTTCCTGGGCACCCTTGCCCTCGAGGACCATCTCCCAAGGGACACCCCCAATCATGCTCCTGAAGAGGCCAAAGTCTGCCCTTCGGAAGTCCAGGGTGGCAGTCCTGCTGGCCCCCCGCCTTGCTTCAGTGAGAATTGAAAATTTTATCATTTCATGATCACTTTGTCCAAGACGACCTCCAACGTTTACATCCCCCACAAGACCTTCCGAGTTAACTATCAGCAGGTCCAGTAGGGCACTTTCCCTGGTCGGTTCCCTCACCAGTTGCGTTAGGAAGTTGTCTTCCACGCATTCCAAGAATCTCCAGGACTGTTGCCTCTCTGCTGTGTTATATTGCCAGCAGATATCAGGGAAATTGAAGTCCCCCATGAGTACAAGGGAGAGTGATCGTGAGGCTTCTGTCACCTGCCTATAGAATACTTCATCAGTCTTTATATCCTGGTTTGGGGGTCTATAACAAACTCCCACCACAATGTCTGCCTTACTGGTCTTCCCCTTGATCCTTATCCACAGGCACTCGACACTGTCATCATGCATATTGCTAAGTTCTAGGCATAGAAGACTGTTCTTAACATAAAGGGCCACCCCACCTCCTCTCTTTCCTTGCCTGTCCCTTCTGAAAAGTTGGTAGCCATCAATTGCAGCACTCCAGTTATGCGAGTCATCCCACCACGTTTCTGTGATGGCAACTAAATCGTAGTTTTCTTCCTGCATGATGGCCTCCAGCTCCACAAAAGCGAGGGGTTGTTCTAAGTAAAGTCCCAAGAATGCAGTTGTAGTTCTTGTCATCCAGCTTTGGAACGTTTAGGGTGTGCAACTGGAGAGGCTTGCTTTAGGGGG